CTGCCACGAAAAGTGTTCTTTGGTTTCAGCTTGAGAAAGTGCAGTTGAAAGCTGTAAATAAAAAATAGCACTTAATATTTTCACATATGTTCAAATTAAATATTTATTATCTATTTACAATCTGCTCAATGGTTGAAGTGAATGGATATTAGGAAAATACATGAAATGTATGTTGGACATTTAAGCCACCGCACAAAGTGAATTATGTTCAAGTCTTGCCTGCAGGCAATGCACGAGGGCAGAGCTGCATGAAGCTTGTCTTAAGTGAATAGAATGTAATGTTATCTTTGTAATATTTACAACTTCATAGAACTATATACATATAATGCATACAGTAGCCGCTCCATTAAGATAACGTAAAAAGTATGGCATACTTGTCAGGATTGCGAGTAAAGAGCTTGTCTTCAGAGTGCTACTCGACCACATTCTTGTGTATGTTTGCAGGACTTGGTGCGTTAGGTAGATCAAGTCTACATATTGATAATGAGGTCACCTTTTATCAATCTTGTATCCTGCTGCGTCTTGGTAAATCATTGTCCATAATTATGCACGTGCTCGTGCAAGATAATGCAGCAACAAACAAAAACAACAAAATTGAAATAAAATTTATGGCAAATGCAACGCAGCAGCCATAAATTGTTAGTGCTGGCAAACACAAAAAGATAAAGGGGATAAAGGTGGCTGCAAAATCTCATCAAAAACGCAACAACCAAGAAAAATATTGAATGCAATTTTATTTATCACACACACGCGCACATGCAACAGCATGCAGCAACTGCATGCAGCAACAAGCTGCAGCTGAGGCGACCGCAAAGCGCATTTTTTGTGACGCAACTTCCGCATGGAAACTGAGCTTTTTAGGAATATATCATATTGGGTATGCGTATGTGCGAGTCTGTGTGTATGTGTGCGCGCGTGTAACTATGCTACTTAGTGTCTGTTTGCATAAAAGGGAGAGACTGCTTATAAGTTGCCTGTCACACACACACACATGCACGCTAGCCCGAAAGGAATCGTATTTCCTGCCGCGCACAATGGGGCAAAGCGTCAGCCGCAACTGTTTGCTGCACATTGCTGAGCTATTGCTGGGGCGCCACGCCCAGTGCTACTTGGTACAGCTGCTTGTGGCTGTTGTCAATTCATCGCTCACTAAAACTCGCAGTCTGTGAAAAAGACACACGCAGTCATGGTTACCTCCAGCTACCAACTTGCCCCTGGCCAACTTGCCAAATGCCACCTGGCCGTCCCACCTGTGAGCTCGTGTGTGCGTTTAAATGAGTTTACGTGCTGTTATGTGTGCGTTGCTATGCACCTTCAGCAGATCCTGTTGCCAGCTCCTCTGCTATTTGTTTGTTTGTTTGCTTGGCTTTAGCTCTGCAGCAACAGCAGCAGCTAGAGGATGAGCTGTGGGAGAACCTCGCCTCAAATGTTGTCTGTTGTCTGGTTGGCTGATCGCTCGGTCTGTTGTGCTGCCTGCGCTCTCATCAAAATCCAGTTTAAGATTTTTGATTTAATTTTGTTTGCTTGTCGGTTTCCTGATGCACGTACCATGTACTTCACATTTGCTTTCGGCATTTGGCATCGTCCTGTGCACATCTTCCAGCCCAACTTGGCCAAAACGAATTTATATGGGACAGTCAAAAGGCTGCTTTTGACACACACACACTCACACACACACACTCACACACAGACATGAAATGTTTATCAACTGGCAAATATGAAATGCTAATTTTGGATATCTCAGAGCTTTCTTTGAAATGCCATCACATACAGCAGGGCTTAGGCATCGTTGTTTAAATAGTATTTGTCTGACTATCTGTGTGTTTTGAAGGTAAATTGAACTGTTTCGAAAGTGGGGAATTTTTTGATTGAACATCAATGTGAAGCTCATTTCCATGCAGATTTCATCAAAAGCGACTCAAAACAAGTTTTGTAAGCTTTAATTAATAATAACTCCCCTAAGTCAAGAACTTGTGAACTTCCATACAAAATGATTGAATGCTAGGATTTATTTTAGAATTAATCCAACTTGAATTCCTGATTATGTAATGCCAAAATATGCTAGCTTTATCTCTAACGTTTTAGTTATCATAAAAGAGCTTGACACCTAAGATATTTGAAAATTAAATTAAATACGCTGCTTTTGACAATATAAATAAGTGTAAGAAAATAGCAGCAAGAACCACAAAATGAAATGAAATCACAGCAAATTAGTTGTAATTGAATTGTTGTCTACTTTGTAGGTGTTTTGGTCTAATCGCCTTAAAGCGCCAGAGGCGGCAACAAGAACATGGCCAGAACTTGTTGATTACCGCCGACCCTTGAACGACGACGCGACAGGTGATCAACAACAAGAACAACAATAACAAGAACAACAGCAGCCAGAATGTCGAGTTCAAGTACACGGACTGGTCCGAGGCAGTTCTATGGCCCTTGTATCGTATCGTATTGTATCGCATACATGTATTTGCCACGCCGACAAAACGAAAACAAATATTTAACGTTTTAGTCTAATTAAATTAGCGAGAACGCCGCTCTGGCCCTCGGGAATTGGTATAAATTTCTGTGCAACGTCCAAGCGGCTAACACAAAACGCTCTTCAATATTTGCAAAAGCCGCGCGGACCGGACATTGTGTCAAAGTGTGGCGAGCGGAACGCACGGCGTGTTTTTGGCTGTACAAAACCAAAAAAAGAAAAAGAATTGAATTAAAATAAAAATAAAAGTACTACCTACACACACACAATATAAATAATAAAAAAAATAGCCGCGCGCCTTAACGTATGCAATACAAAAGTTAAGCCACAATATTTTTTACCTCTAAGCCACATGAAATTTCGACGTCCATTGTGCGGCCAAGCTGAACAGTTGCACACGTTTTTATGCGCCAGAATGCAAGAAGTAAGTGGCTTAAGTGTCCCAGCGACCAAGTGAATTATGTAGCCAACAGTGCCAGGCAGAGATCGAGACAGTGAGAGAGAGAATTGAAAGAGTTGCCGAACAAAGCTGCTGCCGGTCATTGTGTGTGTACGTGTGCGTGTGTGTGCGTACGTGTGTGTATTTGAATACGTGTCTGTGCGTGTGCTACTTGTGACAGCAATTGTGCCGCATATTTGAATTGAATACTAACTAAGCCTGCCATGTGCAAGAAAAGTGTTAAGGTTTAAGTAGACAAAACTCCAAGCATAAAGATGAAAATATTTCTAAAACAGGTGACCAAAATGTAGAAGAAAAACATTTGTTTTTTTTTTTTGCTAGTAAATATTTAGCTATAGCATACAAATTAAAATAAATTAAGGTGTGATTCCTTTTTATAATCCTTTTTTAGAGCCCATTTCCCAATGTTGTAGACTAGATTCGACTTGACCCATATTCGATTTTGTATTGATGAAAATAATATAAGACATATGTTCTTAACTTATTGAATACCCCTGCACGAACCTACATACCAAATTTATCCAAAAATGTATACTATTAAATCGTCCAAGCCCAGGCTTAGCCAACATAACTCAGCTATTGAAATCTGTGGACGCAGCTTACTCCACAAGAAAAAAAGCTCTTAACCTGATATTCAATTGTAAAAAAGATGAGCCAGCAACCATTCAGCATAATTTTATTTCAAGAAGTGATTTTTCCCTAAATGATTTTTTTTTAATTTTGTATGTTATTGAAGGCACACTTTAAATTAAAGTTTTATGAATAAATACTAATACAACTTATTCTACTGTAGAAAAGATTGAATTGCAAAATGATTGATTTCAAAACTTAGTCAAGTTTTGCAACTGTATGCCGAATTTGTAATAGCTGAAGTCTCTTTGAAGATTTGACCTTTTTTACTCCAGACAAATTATTTTCTCATCAACAACTGGCTGGCATATCGGATCATATATTCGCATATGAAATAAAACCCTAATTGCTTAACAAGCCAACTCGTTGATGGGCAATCATAAAATATTAATCCCTTACTGAAAGAGCACACCCTATACATATATATATATGTATATTGCAGCTTATATCAGCTGTCTCTGCAGATAAAAACGAATTTATTGCGGCGGTTTTATGCGTTTCCTTGTCAGCAAAAAACAAAGAATACTAATAGAAAAAAAGGCTATCTGCATACATGTTAAATGACAAACGCGCGAGTCGACTTATAATTCTATTAACTTAATTAAACAATGCAGTTGTTGCCTTTTGTCTGGCTACTCACAATGCTTTTCGCATAGCTGCTGCCCGGCTTCAGCGGATGTGCCGTTTTTTAATGCCGGCCATAAAAAATTTGCATTGCATGGCCATTTTTTACGCAAGTGGGAAATACTTTGAATTGCAGCCAATGAACGCAAATTTTAAGTACACTGTGAAAAGCTCTGCAAAAATAAAAAAAAAGGACTGAAATAAATACTTAAGCATTGATTGGACAACAATTGCATAATAACAACATTGAAAGTGTTTGAAGAAAAATATATCATTATTTTTTGAAGCTGCGATTCGAGCTTAGTGCTCAAAATTGTAAATAATATTGAGAATAATAATTGAGTTATTTGTGAAATAATCCACTCGGTGGCCGCGTGCTACATGTAAACAAAGTCTGTTATAAGCAAAAGCAACAATTACAGCTGGCAAATAATATACAAAATCAAATCAAATACAAAAGAAAATGAACAAAGCGCGAAAGGGGAAATTAAAATTTGGAAAACCTTAAAGAAAATAAATGTTTTTTTGAAAAGTTTTACTTGTGATTTTTCAGTTCTTATTTTCAGCTCCATACATAACGAGTATGTGTACCAAGACTTACTGAAAAAATAACATAAAATAAACAAATGTTTCTGGTAAAACACAATTTTAAAATAAAGTAGAATTAAAAAAGAGCAGCAACAAAATATAAATAATTGATAGATATAAACAAAACCCAAATTGGATAAAATAAAATACTGCAATTAAAAAAATGTAGATATAATAAATCTTAAAAGGAATCTCAAATCTAGAAACATGACTCAAAAATGTGATATTTAAGTCCGAAGAGTTTTTGAATATTTTAAGCACAGCTTTGGGAAGCTAAATAAATGAAAATAATAAATATAACTAACACAAACGAATACCAACCTAAAAAATTTGCTTTAATTTAATTGCAGTTCAAAATTGCTCAAAATTAAATGCATAAAATTGTCGGACACTTGAAAAGAGCTTAGCAGAGTGCCGAGCAAAAAACCGAATAAAATAAAAATATATTAAAATTATAAACAGCTTAAGCGACAACTTGCAGCAGACGCTGACCAAAAACCATAAACCAAGACAAAAACCAACTGCTCACATACACTTACACACACATACGCTCGCACATGTGTGCGTGCGTGTGTGACATATACAACTGGAAACAACAGTGATCAAAAAAAGCGAGAATAACTTTACTTCAAAGTTGCATGCACAGGGGCTTAATGTTTGCCAGTTTTTGGTTTAGCTTTTGGTTGTGTGTGTCATAGAGTGTGCAAACCTGTGCGTGTGTGTGTATGTGTCTGCGTGTGTGGCTTTAGCCCATGCGTTGACAAGCAGCTGCAAAAAGAAGTTGCCATAAATGAACTGCAGTGTTAAGCGAGCTTTGGAACTTTTAGAACAAAACAGACACAAATAAATTACAAGTCGTTTTTTGTTAAGTGAATTACTTATTACACACCCACACACATAAACACACACGCTCCTATACCTAAATAACACCATTAAACATGGGTCGCAAAAAGAAGCAACCGATGGGCGTAAGTATTTAAACTACTGCGTATCTTTAAGATACGCGTAACAAGTAGCTGCCAGCTCATTTTCGCACCAATTTGCATGTTACGCATACGTCGCGTTGCACGTGTATTAGAGACTGCTGCGGCTGTCGTTGCGGCTGCTGCTGCTGCTGCTGCCGGCACTTGGCTTAAACGCTCCAAAAGGCACATTTCATTTCCATGCCATTTAAGTGGTGCAAATAAAGCAACCGCTCAGCCAGCCAACCAACCATCCGACACTGCACTTAATTTCCTTATATGTTTATGTTTATTTTCTGCTCGTTTTTTCTGTTTTCTGCATTTTATTTTATTTTATTTATTTACACCTGCGTTTATTTTTACATACTGACTCTTTTTTTATTTCATTTTTTCCCCGTGGTTCAGTTGCCGCCCGGTGGCGCCTCTGGTGGCGCCCCTAAAACTGTGGGCGGCTGTTGTGTGCCGCTGGGATTACCGCAACCTTTGCTACTCGAGGAGAAGAAATTTTTGCTGGCCGTCGAGCGTGGCGATATACCGAATGTGCGCAGGTGAGTGCCAAGCCATGACGTTGCGTGTTTTTCTGTTCTCTTTTTTTTTTGCTCTCAGCGCTGCCAAATTTGCGCCTCTTTTTTCTTTAAATGGTGCGTCAGGGGACACGCAGGTGTCGATGGGCCGTATCCGTATCCGTACTCGTATCCCTCAGCGCGATATGTGTAGGAAACGCATAAATCCTATCAGCACGAGTCCTGGTTACATGGTGTGTACATGTCTGTGTGTGGCTGCTAGTGTGTGTATGTGTTTTTGGGTGTTTTCAATTATTTGCATAGCTGCCTGCCTTGTTTGCCTTGGGGAATATCTTATATGCCACTTAATAAGCAATATGCGGAAACGAGTCGTGTTTAGCCACTTCCATGCCATGCCATTTAAAAGCGCATTTTAATAAATTTACAATTAATTTAATTTGATGAGCAAATAGAAAATTAAAGCATTTTGTGATTAAAGTGTTATTTATTACACTATTTAAAATAAAATATAAAATTAAGTTAAAATGTTTCAATTAGTTTCAAAGCTTTTAAAAATGTGTAGAACAATTTTTAAGCTATCATAACATGCCTAAAGGTATTCGATATTGATTAATATATGTGTATCGATTTGAGTACAAGCTTTATAAATTAAAAATCATTCCCATATTGGCAAAAGCTGATATTTATTAAAAAAAATTCGTTATATATCGATAAAAGTACCGCATATATCTCAGAAAAATTCGAAATCTATTTTTTAAAAAGTGAATCAACAATATTCGCATAAATTAAGTCTGATTTCCGGAAGATATGTCATATCCATTTTCGTGAAGGTCTTAAGAATAGTTTGGACTCCCAACATTTTTTTAACTCTACCCTCAAGGAAATTTTGGCAACAATTAATATAACACCTGATTATTTATGACAAATGTGGTTCAATAATTAGAATAAGCATGGACTGAATGCCAATCGATGCTCCTGTTTTCAGTGAGTGTTGTATCTATTCCATATACGATTGTGCCCGATCGTAATTACTTTGCTATAAATAATAAAAATTTAAATTATAAATAATACACTAGTTGCTTATATTCAAGTCATAATCAGCTCTTCTGAAAAGTGTCCTTCCATAAAGCAGTTTTTCACCCACAACTAATACCGCATCGATTCCCAAGAGGTAAGACACACAGTAAAACTTGGCTGGTAAAAAAACCATTTATGAACAATCATCAATTGTTTTGAACATGAAATAGTACAAGCATCTGTCAGGTCTGCTTCTCTGTAGACATCTGGATATACTCTAATTAATATGAAATCGTAATTGTGTAAAAACATTGAGTCATTAGGGGGGCAACAGACTCTCAACTTGTTGTGTGCTGTGTACATTGTGGTTGGTCGTCTGATATCGTGTGCTTTTTGCTGTTGCCTAATTATTGGTTGGGTTTCTTCTTGTCGTTGTTGTTGTAGTTGTAGCTGTTGTTGTGGCTGTGATTTTTTACATTTTTAGATTGATAAAACGATAGGGATTGTAACTTTTCATTTCGTCTAATGTGTAACGATAGTGTGCCTTTGATGGCTCCTCCTCGGATCCAATTGAGTCGTCTTCCTCCTCGCGCTGCACCCGTATGCCCTTTAAATGGCAGGCACGCCGATAAAGCTCCTCCTCGCGATCCTTGTAGAACTGCCAGGAGATGCGGCTGAATGCCGGCATTTGGTTAAAATCACGCCCAGCACCATTTGGGGGCACTGCAAACCAATTGCCACCACCTATCTTAACGGTTTGCGTTTCTAATTGATGGATGGACACACCCTTTATTTATTTTCCAGTCGCAGTGGTACGTAGGTCGGTCGGAGCCACTCACCCTTGTTCTTTTGTGCCATTTTGATGACCAAGCCTTGATCCTTCGTAGCGTCCATATTTATTTTTTTGTTGTTATTGATTTGGAATGGGTTTACAAATAATTTAATTGCCAAACGGTTAGTTTATTCGGCGTTTTATTCAATATATATCTCGTTTTGTTAGAATTTTTTACAACAATTTATGTTGACGAACAATTGTAAAATGAATTTTCTAGGGATTGCCGCAACGTAGCTAAACTAGAATTTTTGACAGCTGCAAGTCAAAGGTAACTACGTTGAGTGTCCAGTTAATCGAAAAGTGTTGCAAAACGAACCACCAAATATCACAACACTTTCAACTGAACTCAACACTAGGCACCACCTTTGGCGCTGCTCTTGAAATTTATGCTTTAATTTGAAAAATTGTTTCAATATTTGTTTATATCAAATATGCTCAATTTTATATCATAACTAGTTGCCTTTTATAAAACAAATACGTAATATCCAAAAAAAAAAGCGAGTGCCTTTTATGTAACTCGCTTGATTGGCAAACTTTTCGCTGGCGTTGCATATAATTAAAAGCTTTTGATTCGTTGGCCGCGCAAGAAAAGCAAAAGTTTTCTTTTACGGTCACATTTTTAATAATTTCCTTTTTTTCTGTTAAGCCAATTGATTTTAATTACTTGCCATACCCACTTGTGCCACATTTCTTTAGGATACTGCAAAAAGCACTGCGGCACCAGCATATCAATATTAACTGCATGGACCCGTTGGGCAGACGCGCCTTAACGCTGGCCATAGACAACGAGAATCTGGAGATGGTCGAGCTGCTTGTTATCATGGGCGTGGAGACAAAGGATGCCCTGCTGCATGCCATCAATGCGGAGTTCGTTGAGGCCGTTGAGCTGCTGCTCGAGCACGAGGAGCTCATTTTCAAGGAGGGCGAGCTCTATGTAAGTAATACACCTATCTGCCCGTCTACCAACTTCTCCCCGTCACCCCCTCACGACCCAGTGTTGCACTCAGCTAATTTGTGGCACACATCGAGTGGCACAGCTTTTAGTTGCTTCTCAAACTGAAGCTAACATGATTTTAATCAGTTTTGTGTGGACTCGTTAGGCACGTACATGACAGACGCTGGAGTGATTGGGAGTGTGCGATAAGCGGACAACGCTTCCGCCTCCAACTGCTCCTTAATGTCACATACTGTATGATTATCCATGTCTGTGTTTGTGCTCATCATATACACTTGCCTTGGATGTTATACATTTTTAATGATATATGCTGTGCTCTGTTAAGGAACAATTGCCTTAAGGATATATATACATATTATTTATTGACTTATTCTATGTATTAAAAAGTTCAGTTTCTTAGGCTGAAAGTTTCATAGTATACGAAAAGATGCCTGGCGTCGCCCGATTGATAAATAAAACCATACATTCAAATTAGAAATTTGGCTGGATTGAGCCGGCGACTTTAATCTTATTAGCCTAATGCTCCGATACCTAAGCCACGCAAGATCGAGACGTCATGTTGTCCGCAGTCGGAGGTGCGTTGATCAACAGGACAAATTATATGTACATTCAATTTTGCCTAAGCAAAGTCAGCTTAAAATAACATATCGCTTTCACAGAAGTATTTCGGTGTTGTACGGTTTATACTGAAGATCTGTTCTCCAGTCTATTTATATTTTAAATACGATCAGGTTAAGAAGCATGTTTATATAAGCCCCATCCATCAATATATATGTACCCGTACCTATGTTCCTTAATTATATATTAGCAAGAGTATTTAATTTTCGGTTCTGCCCAGTCGGTCTTCTTCTTTTCCTGTTGCAAATAAAGTTGTATGAGAGCTGGTGATGTCATCGCCGGCTCCTGCCACATATTTATGCACACACGAGCACGCTTCATTAAGCAGCCATTGGGCGCAATTGAAGTGTGAAAATTACAATTGTAACGCATATGCAATAAAACGTTTAATGTGGCCGAAATATCATCTATAGAGTGAAGAGTCTTGAGAGTTGCTCGCAATCGCACCACCTTAACCTTAACTGAATGCTTCCTTACAGAGCTGGCAGAAGGTGGACATCAATACGGCCATGTTTGCGCCCGATATAACGCCGCTGATGCTGGCGGCGCACAAGAATAACTTTGAAATATTGCGCATACTCTTGGATCGGGGCGCTGCGGTGCCTGTGCCACATGATATACGGTAAGCAGTTGGCTTCGATTGCGAGACTTCCATTAATTTGTCATCTTTTAGCTGCGGCTGTGACGAGTGTGTTCGTCTCATGGGCGCGGACTCGCTGCGGCACTCGCTTTCGCGTGTGAATATCTATCGGGCGCTGTGCAGTCCTTCGCTCATTTGCCTGACCTCCAGCGATCCCATACTGACAGCCTTTCAGCTGTCTTGGGAGCTGCGCAATCTGGCCCTTACCGAGCAGGAGTGCAAGTCGGAGTATATGGAGCTGAGGCGTCAGTGCCAGAAGTTTGCTTGCTGCCTGTTGGATCAGACGCGCTCCTCCAATGAGCTGGCCATTATATTGAACTACGATCCGACTATATCTAGCTATGAGCCGGGCGATCGCATGAGCCTCACGCGGCTTGTACAGGCCATATCCTATAAGCAGAAAAAGGTGGGTATTTGTAACTCATAGACAACTCTGCAACTTTGTATCTCACGGATACTTTCATATCTCAATAATAATTTTGTTTCGAACATACATTTTTGTATCTTAAAGCAACTTTTGCATCTCACAAATGCACTACCATTCAATACCTGCATTTTTGATCTGTTTGGACTATTTGTTTGCAGTTCGTGGCCCATTCGAATATACAACAATTGCTGTCATCGATTTGGTATGACGGACTGCCTGGCTTCAGGCGCAAGAGCATCGTGGACAAGTTCATCTGCATAGCACAGGTGGCTATACTGTTTCCCCTCTACTGCTTCATATATATGTTCGCACCCAACTGTCGAACGGGTCAATTGATGCGAAAACCGTTTATGAAATTCCTCGTCCATGCCTCGTCGTATGTGTTCTTTTTGTGTAAGTAGAAGTCCGACTAAGAGTTGTGGTCGAAGTAAACAGTTTAAGCTATAATAATAGGACCTGCCTCTACTCATATCCTGTCTGTTTACCCTGCAGTTATCCTCATATTGGTCTCGCAGCGAGCGGACGATGATTTCGTGCGGCTATTTGGCACGGCACGCATGAAGGCCGAGCTGGCCGAGCAGGAGCAGCAACAACGTGGACAGGCGCCCAGCAAGCTGGAGCTACTGGTGGTGCTCTACGTGATTGGGTTCATGTGGGAGGAGGTGCAGGAGATATTTGCCGTGGGCATGAAAAACTATTTGCGTAACATGTGGAACTTTATTGATTTTCTGCGCAACAGCCTCTACGTGAGCGTCATGTGTCTGCGGTAAGTTCAGGCTCAAGCTGCAACACTCACTCACCTCACCTCACCATACCACTAAATCGCCCACCCTGCAGCGCCTTTGCCTACATACAGCAGGCAACGGAAATCGCAAGCGATCCACAGATGGCCTATATACCGCGCGAGAAGTGGCACGACTTTGACCCGCAGCTGATTGCCGAGGGTCTCTTTGCGGCAGCGAATGTCTTCTCGGCGCTGAAGCTGGTGCATTTGTTCAGCATTAATCCGCATTTGGGTCCGCTGCAAATCTCGCTGGGTCGCATGGTCATCGATATTGTCAAATTCTTCTTCATCTACACTCTGGTGTTGTTCGCCTTTGCCTGTGGACTAAATCAGCTGCTCTGGTACTTTGCTGCGCTCGAGAAGAGCAAGTGCTATGTGCTGCCCGGCGGTGAGGCGGACTGGGCCTCACATGGCGACTCCTGCATGAAATGGCGACGCTTTGGCAAGTCAGTCCAGTCATTCAGTTAATTAGAAAGCATGTACTATGTACTAATCTCTAACTCGTTGTGCGTTGCAGCCTCTTTGAGTCATCGCAGTCGCTTTTCTGGGCCAGCTTTGGCATGGTGGGCCTCGATGACTTTGAGCTGACCGGCATCAAGTCGTACACTCGTTTCTGGGGCCTGCTCATGTTTGGCTCCTACAGCGTCATCAATGTGATTGTTTTGCTGAATCTACTTATAGCCATGATGTCCAATTCCTATGCCATGATTGATGTGAGTAGCTAAGCCTCAACCCCTCAGCCCCTCATTCCTTTAATGACTTTGATTGCGTGATTTGCAGGAGCACTCGGACACTGAGTGGAAGTTTGCACGCACCAAACTCTGGATGAGCTACTTTGAGGACAGCGCCACGCTGCCGCCGCCTTTTAATGTGCTGCCCTCGGTTAAGTGGCTCATTAGGGTGTTTAGAAAGTCCAGCAAGACCATAGATCGGCAGCGTTCCAAGGTGAGTGACTGAATGATTGATTGACTGAATACAGCATTTCTGTTAAATCCACGACCACGAGTGAAAAATGTGTGAAAAATAGAAGCGCCTAATAACAGGTAGTTGCACATTGAGTCGCTCAACTGCGTGATTGATTAACTGACTGATTGACTGAATCCACCACCTACGAGTAAAAATGTGTTGAAAATTGACTGTTTGGGCTTTAGGGCCTCTACTGAACAACTAGTCACACATTAAGGCTCTTGATAGCATACCAAGTACGGTGCCGTAGTGACTGATTAACTGTCTGACTGACTGACCTCACCAATCCCACAAAATTGATAGTTGGGGCTTTAGAATTACATTAAGACGCATTACTTTTGCCCACAGAAACGTCAGGAACAGGAGCAGTATAACAAATATGATAATATCATGCGCTCCCTGGTCTGGCGTTATGTTTCGGCCATGCATCGCAAATTTGAGAACAATCCGGTCACAGAGGATGACATCAACGAGGTCAAGAGCGAGATAAGCACCATGCGCTATGAAATGTTGGAGATATTCGAGAACAGTGGAATGGATGTGTCGTCGGCCAACAAGAAGGAGAAGCGTAGGCTTAAATGACCTTAACAAACACACACACACATGCTAATCACTTATATTTTGCGCAACAGATCCACGACCTCGTCGCATGAAAGTCTGGGAACGGCGCCTGATGAAGGGCTTCCATGTGGCGCCCGTGCAAACGAGCAGCGATTCGGATCTGCTCAGCAATGTGAACGGCGAGGGTGAAATGCGAGAGGTCAAAGTGGAAACAGCGCCCTCAAAGCCAGCCAAGGAGACGGCACGGGAACGTTTCCAGCGCGTCGCACGCACCGTACTGTTGCAGTCAAGCACTCACAAGTGGAACGTGGTGCTGCAGGGCACGCTGCAAAACTCGCAGATTGGTCGCAGCACCAAGTACCAACGCAAGAATCTGCACAACCTGGGCAAGGCCATCGAGGAGGCCAAGAAGTGGGTGGAGTTAACAAAATAAAAAAAAATAATAAAAACTAACTAACCAAACCTTCAAAGGCTCATTTTGCTCAATCCTGGCTGCACCTCCGGTCGGGAATCGCCCATACGCATCGAGTTTGAGGACGAGAAGACCAGCACATTGCTGGAGCTGCTCAATCAGATCAGCGAGGAGATCAATCTCTCTGAGCGGCAACGTGTCAAGTCCTGCTGGCGGCCACCGCTTCGAACTGTGCCCGCACGTGCGCTGGCTGCCAACAACGAGTGGTCCAGATCCAATACGGCGCCAGAACTGCAGCTGAATCGGAAATTGGCGCCGCATAGTCGCAGCAGCAGCCGCACACGCGAGCTACCGCTCTGCCCCAGCAAGCTGGCTACGGCTGCTGCACCCGCGGTCAAAAAGATGGCGCCGGTTGCGCCCACGCCAGCAACCAAAACCACAACAACAGCCAGCAGCAACAATAGAAACAGGGCTAAGACCACGACGACGCCCTTCTCCGTGGAACTCAACCTAGCTGGACGTGGCAGAGGCCACGTCGCTTCGCATTGCGTGCCATCGAGCAATTCGAATAATTTCGATATGCATGTCGTGGATTTGGATGAGCGTAGTCCAAGTGGTGCTGCATTCGATAAGGATAACACATCCGACATAAGCTCCATACAGAGCATGAGTCCCAAGCGGCAAAATCATTGAATGCGTCGCTCGCGTGGCCTCTTGTGATAAACCCTCATAAGCACGCATTGGCTTTAATAGCACTTAAAGCGTATACTCTCCATGCCATCCAAAAAATAATACTATATAGCAATAAAATAAAATTATATGCATAAACAAATTTGAAGTCAAGCGTCTTTTTACATTCATTTGGCATTCATTACAAACTTGAGCTTATTTATTCACACGTAATTCCCATGCACAAAGGAGCGCATTGCAAATTGAATTGAGACTTGACTTCTGGGGGGGGAGGAGCAGACACCAAAATACTCTTACTAATTGAGAGCTTAAAGATTTGCTGGCTAAAGTTAGGCAAATAATAAGATACATTAAGTAAATAAACTATCTTAAATCTGCATTAGTACATGTGGAAAGTCAGGCTTTCGAGCCGAATCCAAGGCGAGACCCTGGCTCCAACCCGTACCAACCTTTTTTTATTTTTGCAAGTCATTCATATTACACTTGCTGTTTTAATTACAATTATACTTGTTCACTTAAATGCAGATATTTATTGCTTATTTTACACTTAGATACATTATGCAAAAACCCTAAAACATGACACAGAAATTAAAAAAAAAGAATAAATCGATACTTCCAATAAACCAAACCTAAAACCAAACTAGTTCAAAAAACAGCTGGACCTTAACCTGAATCTAAAATAGTTATTCTTTAATGTTTTATACACAGTTGTTGTTTCGAAATAAAAAACGTTTGTGTATTGGAGCTTGTTATAAGTATTGGAGCTGGGTCATCGATATGAATATATTTTTGTGTTATTCGGACCATAAAGCAAATCAGAATATCCCTGGAAAAGACATATGGCAAAGCACAAGTGCGACTTTTATCAAATACAAGCTACTTAAGAAAATTTATATGCCCCGCTGACAAGTACTTCCTCCGGCTAATAAGGCCACCAATATAGCCATTTACATATAATCGTGTAGCCTGGACCGGCGGCAATAGACACGCAAACGCATGTCGAGGGGCGATTCTTCTTCTGGATGGTTGACTTTTATGCGTCTGCCCGGCTGGAAGGGCAAGACGTGCGTAAATTCTTAAGCTGGAAGCATTAAAAGCAATAAAGACACAAACAACATAAACAAGTTGAACAGAGAGCTAAGCGTTGCGCCAAGCCGGAGGCTATTGAAAAAGGAACCATGAAGAAGAGGATGCAGAAAAAAGAAGCTGGGGAGCAAAATTACAAATTCAATTTGATGTCATATCAATTGATTTTGCGATACATCTTGTTGCCTTTGTCGCCGGCGTCGCTGACAAGTTGCAAACACAACGCTAACTTTTTGGCTTCGGTTGGCAATGTGCAGAGTAGGGGCATTCCCTCTCTTTTTTTTATATTATTTTTATTTATTTTCCTCTGCGCCTGGCATTTGATTTTGATGACGCGTGGCACTTTTGAAATTTATGCGCTACTCTAAACATACTTTGTATGCGCTCAAAGCCACGGCAAACATGAAGAACGGTCCAAGTAGCTGCCGCAGAGTGTGTGTTGAATGGGCTAGTGTGTGTATATGTGTGTGTGTGTGCGTGTGCCTCGTTGTATGCGACGTATGAAATTTGAAGCTTTTAGCTGATTCGCTCTGTCAGTAGGGGATAAGCGCAGGTATTTTGAGCACGCACCGAAAAAAAAGGAGAAACGGGCATAAAAAGGTAAGTTCTTAGAATAAATTAAGACAAATATGAAACCCTCCACACAGACAAATATGTACTTAAAAGTATTTTAATATGATTCCCAAAGCCTGAGGCTTTCACAATTTGATACATTTCAAACAGGTAACGAATTTGATATTAATCACAAAAGTGGATATAGAAGCTCAAAAGCATATACTAGGAAAATATAGTTAAGAAATTCTTAAAAAAAAAGAGTTGAAAAGCGAATCCCAAATATTTTATGTTTCAGTTGAGGATATAAAAAATACTTCAGGCATTATTCTAAAAGGCGAGAAATTTCCTATGAGCATAAATTTGCAATAAATCATGTATAAAATATAAATTCAACAAATAAAGCTAATATAATTAAAAATAAATATGAGTAAATAAAATAAAGTAGAACATTTTGGAACTAATTTTACAAAATAATTTTTTTTAAATTATATTTTCAATACAATATTAATGTAAAAAGAAAACAAGATATATATTGGATTATTAATATTAGCAACATATACTTTTATTTATTTTAACTTTAATATATATATAAAATTTAATTTAATTTATTTAAACTAAAATTATAACAGTGAAAATATATCATTCAATTTACTTTATTCTTAAATTGCCTCCAAGGTGACTGTAAAAAAAATGTATTGATTATTTTAAAAATTACCTTGGTATTTGACATTTACATGGAACAATTCTAGCGAACTTTGTTTACCAGCATCCTTCAAGTGCTCTAATTCAGCATTTGGTAGCTGCTGGCGACATCCACACAAGTGCCCCAGTGTCCAGTCTGTCAGTTGCTACGCATTTTGCTGTCAACGTCTGTTAAACAGCATATTTCACTGCCAATTGGTCAGGGCACGCAGCGTGGGGCTCGACGAGACGCCAAAAACGGCCCATAAATATGCTACACGAATATGTCATAAACTATTAGCAGCCACGTCCTTTTATATGGCAACTGACAAACAATCTGCACACACACACATCCGGCTGCCGCTTGCCACACAGCTCGACATTCATTGGCAAAAACTTAGAGAGCGGCAAAGGGGAGTTGTGTCCTGGGAGCGGGCAGCATATCTGCACGCCGTACACGTACACAAACATCTATCATATTTCCAAAAACAAAAATATACTGATTATCATAATAATGATGTGGAGCTTGTTAAGAGCTGTTGCTGCTGCATTGAAAATGTTTACTAATTTTGCAAAAATTTATTTTATTTACACATTTTTGTTGTTGTTTTGTTTAAGAGTAGAGCAGACAACAGACTTACGAGTTGCATGTACATGTGGATGTCTGTTTAGAGACCATATATATTATACACTTGATTAAGCATGCATTACAATATTACGATTACATTTAGCACTAACAACTATATGTCTAATAGGAGCGTGTCCTGGTCACACATACATATACACAATATGAGAGATAGGGCTGTGGGATCAATCGCTGGTTAGCTTCAGTCGGACCGCAATCCGTCTGCATTTCCACATCAGCTGTGTCTCGAGTATACTAAAGGACATGGCCACCAGGACGAGGCCGAGCAGCAGATAAGCACAGCACGCGTACAGCTGCAGTTCGGGTCCATTGAAGCTCCGCGCGGGCACAAAATCTCCGTAGCCAATCGTGGAGAGCGTGACAAAGCAAAAGTAGGCGCCATCCACCAGTGACCAGTTCTCCCACAGCGCAAAGATAACGGTGCCCACGCATATGTAGCACATTAGTATGAAGAGCACCAGGCTGATGGGCACCTGTCGCTGTGACTCCTCGTCCTCATCGTCATCATCATCATCATCATCGTCTTCCTCATCATCCGCCATCTGGTGCTGCACACACTCAAGGGAGCCATTGGGCCGGCTGGGCTTTAGCTTCTTCAGCACAAATTGCTCGCTGCCATGCTGCATGTACTCCTCGTCGTCGGAGGTCTCAGTGTTGGCGGTGGCATCGTACAGCGCTGTCGCATGCTTCTGACAGCGACGCGTCAGCAGCAGTGTCTTCCGATTCAGCGGCTGCAGCGTATGCCGATTGAAGCTAGCAGCTGTGGCATTTAACAGACCGCGCGCCTGTTGCCCGGCGCCAGACTTCTCAGCCAGCGGCAGCTCATGGGGCAGACCCAATGCGCCGCAGCCGGAGCTCGCTATCAGCGGCACACGCGACGGGGTGCCATGCGGGCAATTGCTATGGAATAGAAGTGATGAAAAGACAGGCGTAAGTAGAGGGAAACGTTTAACAAATATTTACGCAGCGTTTGGCCATAAAACGGCATCAATTAAATATATCGATAAGCAGGCCAAAGCCACATAACAAACAGCCAAAGGCCATCAAAAAAAGTAATGCCCAAGCACGTCTGCCAGGCGGTCACTGGCCAATCAATAAACCATAAATACAAACAGTTGGCGTGCCATACGTGGCGTATGTGCTATGTTGTATTGAGTATACGCCGAGCTGGCCAAGTGATTTAGCTACGCGACAGCTTTAAGCGAGATTCAATAGTATTGAACCAACACTAGATTATAAATAGGCAGGCTTTCAGGTGGGCGTGCCTGTTAGCTGGTGCGGACCATGGCCCACGGGCTTAAGGGTTAAGCCAATAATTATTTATTTTGGTCAGCAATCATGTTGGCTTTATGGCGATGACGTGTTCATTGAACCTGCACATTATTTTTCACTTGCTTTAATGTCGGGAGAATAAGTGAATTCATAAATATACAGCGTATTTTCTTTTGTATTTTTTTCCAGTTGTTTTTCGGTTTGCATTCACACGGGGAATTGTTAATATTGAATATATGGAATGCAACTTTCATGGCGCAAATTGGCTGCAAAACTTAACTTTTTATGCGCATAAACAAATTCAACGTTTTAAGAGTGAATATCTATTGAATTGGAATTTTATAAGTCTCATCAAAGTTGGCCAAGAAACTTTAGTTTCACAAAGCATCAGTTCGAACAATTCGATAAATTGTGTACCCGCATTTGCAAAAGTGAACCCTAGATATGTGACAAACATTTTGCCAGTCAGCTGACAGCCTTTAAATTATCCAAGCAGTGCAGCAGAGCTTCATCTGATTCATTTTAACGACCTTTTGTTGGAATTGAAAGTATACAGAAAACTTTTATGTAACGGCAACAATTTTATATTTGTATATTTCAAGATCTTTAAAATGAACCAGCCGAGCGACATGCCTGATGACAAATTTTTGTGGGATGTATTTCAACGTGTTGACAAGGACAAGAGCGGCTTTATTTCCGCTGATGAGCTGCAGATGGCGCTTTCGAATGGCACTTGGTCTGCCTTCAACCCGGAAACGGTTAGGCTGATTATTGGGATGTTCGATCGCGAGAGTCGTGGCACAGTTTCTTTTCAGGACTTTGGAGCATTGTGGAAATACGTAACCGATTGGCAAAATTGTTTCCGTTCATTTGACATCGACGACTCGGGCTTTATTGATAGGCTGGAGCTAAGAAACGCACTCACAACCTTTGGATTTCGGCTAACGGATCAACTGATTGAAATCTTACTTCATAAATTTGATCGGTTTGGTCGGGGAAATATTCTGTTTGACGATTTCATACAATGTTGTATTGTGCTATACACACTAACAGCAGCCTTCAGGGAGTACGATACAGACATGAAAGGCGTCATAACCATAGACTATGAACAGTTCCTACGAATGGTATTCGCACTTAAGATATAATAATGCGATGTGTATTTAGAAAAGTTAAATTATTCTGACACCCTTATAACATGATGGAAATAAAATTTTCAATTCATAAGCAGAAATGAACACTTTGTTTGTATCATAATTCATTATCATATGAAGAATATCAATATGAAAAATTATTATTTATTTTGCCTCATGAAATAGTTAGAATTCAGACTGGACTCGGCTTAAAGATGATACAGATTGTTATATTTGAATATATACATATCTACATATATATACATATCATCAAATCATAGCCAAAACAGTAAGCGAGTTTATTAAGACTTCCTTTTAGGTGAAAAGTAAATAGAACGACATCCATAACCAAACAAGAGGAAGGTGTCCAGTACAAATCCAGCAGGAATTTTTATAAAATTTGAAAAGTAATTGCTTGTCCGGGCGACAAAGGGTAATTTTTCGGAATTTAATATTAAAATTCAAAGCATAGATTTTCTTGATTGTCAATATTTTCTTAGCCAGTAAACCATTTCGAAAGTGTTGCAAAAGCAGCTCAGATTAAATATCTTATTTTCGCCTACTCCGGGAATGTCTGCTGTGCAGTCACATTTCCGACTAGATGAACCTTAAAAGAAAACTCATTAAAAGATAAATACAAAATGATGCTTCAAATCGTGGGGTAACCACTTATAAGAAATATAGGCCTATTTGAGCATGATAAAAGCTACGACGCTCATGCTAATGCATATTGCTGCGGGCCAGTGGAAGAGTACACTTGAGTTGCACTCGACAGTGGCTCACAAGTGTGCTTGGTCAAATCAATTTGCGGTGCGTTTATTGAACTTGCCTGCGCCAATGACCAGCATGCAGGCAGCCAGGATGTCAGCCACTTCGGCTCGCACTTAACGTGCGATTGGCCGGCAGCTTGGCAAACTACAAGCAACAGCACACTTGAGAGCCAGAGCAGAGGCTGGGTGCAAAGAGCCTGCTCCAGCCAAGGCCTTTGGTTGGCAGTCAACTGTTTTGATTTAGGACGCACGTCGGCCAAGTCGAGAAGTGGGTTAGGCTTAAAGCAGCTCAAATTTTCTGTAAATTAAAGCAAGCGCCAAGAAGAAATCATGACAGAAGAGGAACAGGAGCTAGCGCTGTGGCCGCACAATTCGCATGAAATTAATTGACCTGATTCAGTTTGCAGCTCGGCTTACAATTAATTACGCGCACACACACACACACACTCCAGGATAGTGCTGCTGAAATTGAAGAAGCTTCGCTGTGCGCGCTGCCCACCGCCAGAGGGCGCAAGCAGCGCGTGCACAGGTTCACTGTCAAAATTAATTACCCGCTGCTGGATTTTATTAAATAAAATGCGCAAAATGTATGAAAACCCAAAAAAATTATCTCCGACGGCTGCTGCCGACTGAAAGTGGCAAATTCAGACAGCGTGCCACTTGCCACAGACGTGCCCGCAAATGTTTGGCTGGATGCGGGGCTGGCAGCGAGCCGGCAACCAAGTGGCCGCAGCAGCAATATGCAAGCAAATATTCTGAAGTGTTGATTTAAAGTGTTGCCAATGTAGAGCAGAAAGTTTGTTTATGCAATGAAATTAACAGTTTGTTATCTCATGCAACTGTGGAATTATGCCTCGGCACTGGATTAAAATTCCTTGCATCAGCAATAGCACAAAGAGCAAACATCAAAATAGTAAAACTCAGCTTGAAGTATGTGGAATCAAAAGCAACTTTTAAATGCCTTTGACTTTGTGTGCATTACATAAATTGTTAAATCTGTGCTACAGCCAATTAAGATTAGAGAGACGCGCAAAGTTTTTCTTTTATTTAATTACGTTTAACATTTGAAATTTGAATTTTATGTTTAGCAAGCTTATGTCTTTGTGCAATAGAAAATCTTTGCTAATTGGGATATGTAAAATAATTTTAATTATTTTTCAAAAAGGAACAACATGCATTTTTGGATTTTATTGCATTTTGGACAGTTTTGGCAATGCCAGAAACTTTTTTGTGTAAGCTTCCAGACTTTTTATATCTTGCACTACTAAAGGGAAATTTTCATAAAAATTAAATTTAAGTAGCAAGAGTACCTTCTGGGTATTGCTTATAATTAAATAAGTAAAAAATTAATACGCATACCCTTAAAAATGTGAAGCAATTTTCAAAAAATATCTAAAATTTTGATCTTACAAATTTATAAGGCAATAATTTAGGTAATTTTCAAGCGTCTTGGGGGTAATTGAATTATTTTAAAAATATAGTTTAGCAATTATGGAACATTTTCCTTATAATCCGCCCAACAAATTGCTAACCCTAACTCGTACATAATGTGCGTTCCATTGTGGTTGCCTGGCCGAGTGCATAACAATGTGGGAAATGTTTCCACGACTGAGCCCATTAGGGTCTACCGCTAACATCAACTGACCAACTGAAGCGGCGCAGTTGAACAAGACCAACAACACGCAACAAGCCCACATTTTCAAAGCCAGCTCGCTGCTTGAAGTTCATACGCACATACGTAGACACAAAAACACACAGACACATACCTGGAACGTTCACGCTCCTGCTCGTCCTCGTCCTCCATGATATCCACATTGCCACTTGAGCTCAGCAGCGCCGACAACGTGGCTGCTGCAGTTGTTGTTGTAACTGCTGCTGCTGGTGATGTTATTGTTGCTGCTGTTGTTGCACCGACGCCAGCGCCACATACACCTGCGGCTATAAAACTGTTATCGGCCATTGTTACTGCTGTTGTTGCTGTTGCCTTAATGCCGGCTGACAGTTGCGGACTGCTTGTTGCTGCCGTGTAGGTTAACAATGCAGGCATCCCTGTTCCTGTTGCAGTGCCTGTTGCTGCTGCCGCTGTTGTTGTCGCTGCTGCTCCTGCTGCTGCTGCTGCAGATAATGCATGCGGCAATAAATCATGCCTGCAGGATAAATCACTCGAACCCGTTGCCGTTGCGCCCACGGTCAGCAGCGTATTGATTTCTGGCGCCAGCGGCTGCGTCACAAATTTGGCCCGACGCACAGCTGCAGCAGGGCGAAAAAAAACACATACCACAAGAGTTGGCAACGTGTTGATTTAATAATACTTTTTAAATAAATTTAAATGTGCACTTTTCCTACTACAAAACCCAATAACAAAGCAGTCAACGAACTGTAGAGTAGAGACCGAAAAAAAAAAATAATATAAAAATGAAGAAAACAGAAAGTTTTGCTGGCGACGCAACTTCCGGCAACTGAATTTGTTGGCCCCACATAGGCATGACTGTAAAAATACATTTATATATAAACATGCTGCACTTAGTTAGTGAAATAATTTGTTTCTGCGTTTGCAAAAGTTTAGCGTACAGCGGCGCAACACAATATGTGGTGCTTGGTTTTAAATTCGCCAGCAAAAGTTTGGCAACGCCTTGCATGGGGTAATGTAATAGCTGGCCAGCACTGTATTTGGGGTTGCCAGGTATTATCATAACCAACAAAAGAAAAAAAAAACGAGTAAATTCTGTTGCTGCTGATATGTGCAAAAGTGTAAATACACTTATTAGAATGTTATATCAACTGCTACAATATGAAGTCTACTGAATTTTATTGTTATTTGCTTACATGATTAAAAATGGGTTGTCAGCTTTTGCATTTACGTTATATTCACAGAAATACTGTAGTTCTGATCGCCAGAAAAAAGTTATTTGCGAAAAGAGTTACGAGGTTTTATGTTGATAAATATTTTAAGGGAAATGTTACAAATACAAATACAAATCTGATCGAAATTACTCTTTGAAAATTGATCGAAGTTGTTTACATTTCCATTGCATTCAATCGGAAGCTAGATATGTCTATTACATTTGCAGCTCTCATCATTGGGAATTCAATATGTTGATTTTAACTTATTTAGTGGACCAAAAGTCATTTCATATCTGTATGGATAAATGGTCCACTTTGCCCAACTTTAGTTGCGCAATTTGCAGTTCCGAAACATAAATTTTTCATATCTCATATCAACTGACCATTGCAAAAAGGAAGTAAAAAGCCGAAAGGAAGCAACTGTAATGGCATCTTTCACTTAGACCCGGCGCAGCTGCTGACAGAGCTTGCGTGGAACGCGCTGGGCTGTGGCCAGCACAGGACATGGCCAATTTGAAAATATTTACTTAAACTTGGATGGCACACACAACACACACACGCACACAGACATGCACATACACACACTCACACAAACATTCATTAGAGTGTTGAATGCATTTTGTACATGGCTGGGTGCAATGTGGCCGACAGTTTGCTGCAACTTTTTCTGGAGCGCTAATGGCGTGGTCAACCACTGGGTTACAGGAACTGAGTGTTCAGGCCGAGAGAGAGCTTGCCGGCAGGACAACGACCACCCTTTGAATGTTCGAGTCCTTTGTGCTACATGAAAACAGCTGAAATAATTAGGGTGAATATTGAAATTGGAATCGATGCAGCTATTGACATATACGAATTGACTGCAATTTGTAGCCAGCAATCATAATGGAAGGCAGGACACGGCGAGGACTCGCCGCTTGTGTAAATCTGTCACGTGCTCTCAGCGTAAAGTAAAGTAAGTTTAATGAGTTTTGCATGCAGCTGACACGCAGCAATAAGGAGGATAGGGGGCGTGCGGGGGTGATTGTCTGCCTGTGCACAGGCCGCTGACGTCTTGTGTTGAACTGGCATGCGGCATGTGGCAAGTGCCAAGTGGCAAGCGGCAAGTGCCAAGTCATCATTGTCGTCAATAAAAACTGTCGCACATGTCTCGCCTTGGCTCGAGAGTGCATGTTGTCCTTGTTGTCCTTGTCATGTCCTTGCTACGACAACGACAACGACGACGACGACGGCGGCATGCGGCAGCAGTTGAAAACTTTTAATGCGCCGTCCCCTCTATAAAAGTACAGGCCAAAGTCGCTTAGTATGCCAGCTTAACTCTGTCATTTTAACATGCTGCTCTCTCATCTCTGCTCATTATGTAGTTGCTCTCAATAATGATGATTGTCATGATAATACTGCTGACAGCAATGCCAGCAAATTGTTACATAATTGTACGCCCAAATGAGCAGACACTCACAGAGACAACGCTGCGTATGATTGATGAATATCGGTATCATTTGTGGCCTGCCCTCGCCTGAGGTCTGACACCCAGCTTTGTGGTCTACCATTGTATATGCTGAGCTGATGTATTATTAATAGATGCGCATCTATATAAAGGTTCAGTTAAATTTAATTTTATTCCAGCAAATATTGTGCAGCTGTTTTGTATGCAATTGAAATTAATATTCATAAATTTCCGGCGAATTCGGATATTATTTTTGTGTATCAAAATTTTACCAAAAAAAAAAACACTTTTTTTTGGGAGGTATGGATAATGTGTTAATTATAAAAACATAATAATAATTCATGTATAAAAGTTGGTCAAATTAGAAAGTCTTTAAAATGTTATTCAAATTTATAGAGACCTACCATGTTTATAAATAAAAGTTATCGAAAAGAAATTACGGTCTTGTTTGGAATAATTATTATTTGAAACAAGAAAGATCTCTAGAAAAACTTTTATTTACCTATCAAAAATCATATACTTTGAAAAGCAGTTAACAAAAATATTTATACAAATCGATTTTTTTTTGGCTAAGAAAAATATAGAATTTCTTTGACGAAACAAAATAAAGCTTTAAAATAATTAAAACATATTTCTTTTTTAATTTGATTAAGTTAATAAATATTTGCCGTGAAACAAAAAGTAAAACAGATGGAATCAATTCATTTTCATTAAATTTTTTAATAAGGCTTAGAGTTCCCCTTTCTGGTATACTGTTAAGATACTGTTAGAAGAGCTGTTGCAACTGCTGCTGCGCTGCTTATCACGGAAATTAGCCAGCTTTTAAACAGCTCCAACAAATCTTAATTGCATTTGGATAAGTTTTGGTTTCTCTCTCAACATTTCTGATACTCACGATGCATATTGGCTGTCTGATAGGCAGGTGGCGGCGGCAATGTGATGGCTTCCAGTGTGCTGGTTGTTGTCGCCAGGTCGACGCCGTGTCCCGTGGCAGTTGCTGCCGGCGGTGTGTCCAGTGTGCTCAGCAGTCGATGATGTTGCTTGGCAGCGGATTGCAAGTGTATCGTGTGATACTTGACCAATGGCTGCGGACAGTGGCTTGGGCTGCCCGTTGCAGAAGCGAATGGAAAGTAAATTGTCGCCGTGGCCGGGGCATAGCAATTTGGTGGGCTAGCGGCAGCAAGGGGCATATTCGGTGCGGCACTGAAACGCAGCATGCTGCTCGGCACGGCGACAAAATTCGTTGGCTGTTGTTGCTGTTGTCGCGGCAAAGTTGCTGTCGATAATTGCTGCTGATGCTGCTGTGTTGCGTGTGTTGCTGATGCGTTTATGTAAAGCTGATGCTGCTGTTGCTGCTGCAGCTGTTGTTGTTGCTGTTGTTGTGGCAACGGGGCATATTTCAGCAACGCGTTGCCAGCCGTTGTTGTTGTCATTAGCATGACATCTGGCTGCTGCTGCTGCTGCGGCTGCTGTTGCTGGTAAAACTGCTGCTGCTGCTGTTGCTGCTGATTCAACTTGCTTGGCATTGCATTGCGCAACAATTGACTGGCATCTGCTGACCGCAGGACAATGGAGAGTGCAGCCGAAAAGGGATATGCGAAACTTGATTAACGATTTGCCAATTGTTATGCTGACAATTCAATTTATAACTACTTCCACCCCCGTCTATCCACACCCTGCACAAAAGAGCATGTCTTTTGTTACCCACCTTCGCCTTGTTCCAGCGACAACTTGCGTTTCATTGTTGTCGTTCCTGTTGCTGTCCTCTGGCCATATTCATAGCGCTCGTTCAGGCTCGTTTCGCTGTTGGCCCCATCGTACTTACAGCCCTTACAGTTGGCCTGCAATTAAACCGGATACTTTTATAAATGCCGCACAGCTGTAATATTCAACTAAAGTAATATTACTTCAGTTAATTATAAGATTTATCGCTGAGCCGGGTCGCACAAATATGAAAGCTTTATTTATTTATGCATATTGAATAAGTAACTTGTATAATACTGGGGCTTCGCTTAAATTAGCATTTCGTTTTCTTTTATTTCCTTCTCAGAATAAAAGCTGTGCGTATAATAGCATTTTTACATCGATAAGTCGACAATGCCGTTTGATTAATTGTAAAATGCATATCTTAATGCAAATCGCTGTTCAACACTTTTCAGCGCCAACTATCTAAGCTGTGTCCTAGAAGGTGACATCAATGTAAAAGCATAAGCTTGTAAATATTTAACAATACATTTTGATTGGCAGCTTTGCGTGTTACAATGAAATTAAGTTTGACAATTGGTTTGACAAGCACATAATAGGAAAGTTGTAGTTGGAGCTGCCAACATTTATGAAAAAATAACTCTTTTTGACAGGTTTCTTCATAACATTGTCTACGCCTTAACATCTTTTTAATGGTCTAACGTCAACTTTAAATTTAAATAAAAAAAAAAAAAACCTTTATATTATCTTTTGCTCATGTAATGCCCACAACTTCGCTCAGCTAATTTCCAATTTGGCAAAGGCATTCAAACATCCTTTAAGACCGCAACACAATTAACTTTAACAAGTTGTACAGCACTTGGCATTTGCACCTTTCTTTGGTTAGATTTGACAATCGTTGAGCGTTGCCATAAAATGTCAATAAAATTGCAATTTACACATTCGGCAAGCTGGCAACTCGTACGGTGCGTCTAAATTGATGTCCTTGTTCTAATCCTTGTTGTGGTTCAAGCACCACGTTGCGTGTTGCCAAGCGAAGCGTTGTCATGTTGCTATCGTGTTAGTTGCGGTTCTGTGGTATCATGATGAGACGCTGGGGCAACCACACACACTCACAATCGCACACAAACACACACACACGCACACGCACACGCACACGCACACACACATACATAACTCAAATGATATGCCACTGTGACTTTGCGGCTGGCCCAAAAAACCATTCACACTGTGCGTCATGATAATTGCAAAAGGCAACAGAAAAGCCAAAGGATAACGACCAGGGCAAAGGGCGAAATGCCAACGGTCAACATGCTGATAATAATTCAACCGATGAACGCATATGCCCCAATGTGAGCCGCAGGGCTTATCAATTGCCAGTCCCAAGGCAAGGGCTTTGGGTTTGGCGAAAGAGGAAAGGGCCATGTCTGTAACAGCATCAGCATCAGCCTCAGCAGCAGCAGCTGTGATTTGCTCAGATTGAATTAAGCCCTAATGAGTCGTTAAATGCAAAAAGGATTTCAGTTCCTTTTGATTTTACCAATTCGATTCAGCCAAGCAACACATCTAGGCGGCAAATGCAAAAAACTTGTTGAACAATTTTCAAGCACACTCAAGCCCCACCCCACGCCCCAACCTAACAAAAGTAAGATGTTAGAGCTGTAAAGTGCATAACGAGTGAGTTTTTGCCACGTGCCAACAATGCGGTACACAGCACTAAAAGGGAAGAAAAATTACACTGTTGGAAATTCGCTAAGGGTTAAAGGTGTTAAAGGGAGTGTAAAATGCATTGATTTTCTAAATAAAATTAAGGTTCACTCAAATAATTGTTGGGCTAATTGGCTTTAATGAGCTTTAAATATGTTTTCATTCAGCCAAAACTTAAATTAACTTTAAAGCTGATTTAATGCTAAACCTAATTTAAGGTACGTTAAAATAGTTGTTTTGACAATGTGATTAACTAAGCTTTAAAAAGTTCCCTAAACGACTTTAATTAAATCCTTTCCATAAATTAATGTAAGCTTTAATCAGCACAGGTTTTCACAAATAATTTCCTACTGTGCAATTTTAGAGCTTTGAAGCTGTTCGGCGGCATCACTTTGACGAGCTTTAAAGCCAAAGCTTTATATTGTAATGTTTAATTTAAAGGCTTAAAGCTAAAAGGTTTTTGACTTTTTGTCACATAATTAAAATCACTTGCCTCTACCAAAATGTTAAGTTTTTCATTACCCTTTTATTCTTTTAAATTTATTTTGTTGCAACCTCTCAGTTTTTCTTTTGTTATTGCATTACATATACATATATAACTTCTGAAATTCCCCCAATATGCTCCCCCTTTTCAACGTAACACAAACAAACAGTTAGCCGCACTTTTCCATAGCGGGCCATAAAAAAATCAATTACATTTCGCATTGTGCAACGGCAAATGAGAAGTTATTGCCCGCTTTTAGCCTGGCCAGCGTAATTTGCCCAGCCATTTTGGCCAACTTTTCGCTAGAGCATTTTTAAAGTGGACGCAAACTCATTTAATTTACTTAACTCGGGCACTTTATATGGCCTTCAGCGACCCAAGTCAAATTGCAACTGGCTTCAAAGTTGGGACCACGCTTAAATTGTCAGCCTGACATGAATTTCAACTTTGCAGCGCTGACAGCCGACCAAAGTTCCCATTCATTAAAATCAGCGTCCTGTTGGGCAATAATAGTGCGCTTTTTCGCAGAGCTCCATTAAGCAAATTTGTGCAAAAGTAAATATTAATGTTTATGTTAATGAATTTCCAAACGAAAGCTAAATTTCCAAACTGCTGCTCAATCACGTAAAACCGTAATTCAGTTATTCGCCCTCTTATGCGGTCAGATATATTGTCGTTATTTTCCTTGTAAATTTCATTTTTATTTTTTCGTTTTGCTGAAATTGCCAATTATACAGAAATTTTTGCAACCATAAATAAACAAACGTGGAGAAATGAGTGACATAACAAAAAACGCATACGTATTGCCTGATGATAAATCAACTTTTCAAATGTCCACAAGAACTGAAAATTTTAAGGCAGTTGCATTTAATTGATGGACTAGGAAATACCCAAAGTTTCAGTTTGATTTTTATAACTGCTTTTATTTCAATAAAATGTATAATAGTAATTGTATTTCAAAGAATAATAATAATAAAAATAATAATAACATATAATAAATCATACAAAATATTATTTTTGTTAGAGGGCGGCTCATTGAGTGAGAGAGGAAGAGTTGCTCGACCTTTTTGCTAAAGAGGAAGAGTATCCGTACTGAAGAAATCCTGACCTGAATAAATACTATTTTCGAAATTAAATTTCATTAAAAATATTAAAATAAGCTACAGTGATTCTGCCGTTTTTTAACTTCTTTTTTTGTCATACAAATAAAGCTAAGGCAAAGCTGGGAAAATAAATGTATTTAATATAAATAAATAAATATAATAAGTATATACTAAGAAGGGCTACGGCACATCGTTTGGAAAGTCAAACATCTATATATAATGTCACCATGTGATGGCACTTGTAGTCGACGTCTTACATTTCGACTAAAAGATATTTACATATGATACAAGTGATATGTATCTGCAACAAGTTTGCTTCGTGTTTTCAAAAAGCAACTCTAGGCACAGTAAAAAGTTTATAAATAAGAAGACACAAACAATGTTCTAACAAAATTGATAAACTTCCGCTGTAAGCGCTGCCGCTTGCCTTTAATTTTAGGGCACAGCGTATATCATAAGTAGAAGAAGTACACTCAAATAAAACGGAATTCATAGCTCGGGCTTTAATACAAATGTCAGTGAGGCTCGTATATGGTAAACAAATGACGTACAAAACTTGTGCACGAATGCACAAAACATGCAAACAGCGGGCCAAAAGGCCTGGCCCTGAGCTTAGCCGAGTCCACAAATTATATATGTATATGGCGTGCGGAGCGAACGCGACAGCCAACTTTTTTTCTTCTGTGTTATCACAGCAAATAAAAAAGCAACGTAGCCTGATTTGCCAGGACACAACAGCACACACACACACACACACATACAGAAAAAGGGGAGCGGCAGCAATCTGGACAGTTAGCAATCTGTGGCACGATCCCAAAAAGTTCTTTTTGCGTTTTTTGCTCAAATCAATTACAAACTTTCAGTTTACTGTTAAAAAAAAAAACATAAAATAGCCTAACAAGCTGAAATGGGTTTCAAAACTTAAAAGGTTTCTGTTGTCTTAATTAAAAATCCGTTTGCCCTATCGAAATACGAAACAACTGCGAAGTGCAAAACTGGAAGGCTTTCTTAGAAAGCAAAATAACAAAACTAAATCAAAGCGAAATTTGCTGGCATTGCAAGCCTCAAGCCAGGGTCCAAGTGCTGCGGAACAAAGGTGGCTTGTGTTACATTTTTTCCTTTTGTTCCGGAAAATCCTTTTTTATCAGGCAGCCAGATATTGGAAACACAATAAGCCAATTATTCAGATAAAGGCAAGTTGCTTTTAACAGCAATATAGCCGGACTCAGCCAAAAATAATTTTCATAATATTAAAAGGCTGCTTTTTGAGCAGAAATAAAATTCAACGAATAGTTTCCAGATTTTCATCAAGTAAATAAAGTCCAGTCGAACATTTTTAACATAATCTTCGCAACTTTTTAAACAAAGAACATAAAAGAGAAACGAAACAGTTCGCATAGTTCAACTGAAAGTAACTCCCCCACATTTTAACAACTGGCTGTGAAAATCGTTAAAAAATAAACTATTAACAGAAAAATAAAAGAATAACTTTAATATTTCACGTAGAAACACAGCAACCAAAAAAAAACTGCTGAAACCCAGAAATGCGAGCAGCCAGTGAAAGTTTTTGGCCAACAATAGACACAGCGCCAGCGCCAGAGTCACTTTCCAACAGTGGCCAGTGTTGGTTAGTGGCCGAAACTGTGGCCATGAGCAGGCTATGCAACAATGCCAAAAGTTTTGCTTGGTGGTGCGATTCGACTGGGGGCAAAATGTACAGCAAATACTTTGGCCAAGACTTCCAGAACAGCAAACACATTTTACACGCTCAGTTATTGCAGCTGTGTGAGAACTTTGACAGCCCTGGCAATCGAATTAAATCCATAAAAAAGTCAACACTATTAAGTTGCAGTAAATGTAACTTGAGCATGTAACTGCGCAGCAGTGGCCAGCTGTTGCATTAGCAGCTGAATAATATCAATCATACGCCCTGTTTGACTTACCCCTTTGCCAGCTGGATGACGTCGCTTTGTCACAGTGCCCGTCGCCGTCGTTGTCAGGCCAATCGTCGACTTCTTTTCTCCGCTGGCAGATGTGTGGCTGCGTTGCAGCTGGCAGCAGAGCCGCATATAGGTGCACTGCAGCGCCTCGGCGAGCAGGGCTCCCAGGCTGGACAAACACATCAGCATCAATGGGACACCGATGAGTGCATAGAATATTGTTGCCAGTTTCCCAGCCGCCGTGCGTGGCGTCAAGCTGCCGTGGCCTATGCCATAAGACAAAGGACTTGAGTTAATATAAGGTTTTATATAAAAGTTATAATATTACTTATGAGGCAAAGGCACAAGCAAACGGCACATTTAAAAAGCTCGTTAGCAATTTCTGCTTATTTATTATGTTAAGTTGGAAAAACCTTAAGATATGATTTTTTCAATTTTGTAGTCTTTCTTTTTTTGGTAATTAAAGTCTAATCCACAAAACCTTTCACTAAAATTATAATTTTCTATTATTTTTTGGCCATTTTCTTAGGGAAACTAATCCTTTCCTTCTGTCTCTCTCCCTTAGCCAAGTTCTGTATTCGGTTCACTTAGTTAAACAATAACACTTAAGCAGCTCTTAATTTGTTGGAGTATTTATACCCCCGCCCAAGCACACTCTAACTATTCAACCGAGCAGCACTTCATAATATATAGCACAGTTTGCACAGAGACTACAGACAACAGGCTTTAACCATATGCAAATATTTTGGCAAAGCCCATCGGGCGTATACATAATATGCATGCTGGCTTGTCTTCAGCTGTTGCCATTGATGCTGCTGCTGACGTTGGGCCCAGAGCAATGTAAATATTTGCAGTTATTACAGGCCAATGTTATAAATTTAAATGCCCCGCAGTACATTGTAAATATTAGAAACAGTGTCTCATAACAAGCAGCGACTACAAATGAAGATGCTTCTACTTACCAATTGTCGTTATCACAGTCACCGAGTAGAGCAAAGCCTCGCTAAACGTCCAGCTCTGCGTGTCGCCAGCATCGTAGCCGAAATGCCCCACAGCGCTGGCACTGGCACCTGGTCCAGCTACTGCGACCGCACCGCCACCAGGACGCGTGGCGGCCACAATGGAGCCCTCGAAGCGACGCAGCTGCTCGTGCACCAGCATTGTCCAATTGCGCTCATACAGCACGTTGAGTTTCTCTGCAATTAAACCCAACAATTAGGCCAACATCATTTAGTTAGGGTCAAGATGCAGTAAAGCCTGGCCAATTGCCAGTTGAACTTAAAATAAAAAAGAAAGGAAGAAGGAAGGAACCATTGTAATTATGCAATTTTGTTTAAAGTGCAATGATAACCTTTGTGCTCCTTTGCCAAGTGTCGCACTCGTCGCTAAGCAGCACAAAGCCACCGCCTCGACCCCCACCGCCCCTACCTGACACAATCCACATTGATTTTACTTGGCTTGCTGGAGAAAATGTCTTGAGGCGCTGCTCGCATTTGATTTTGCCTCTACAGCGAATTGCTGAGGTAGCTGCCACAGCTTGTTAACAACAACAGCAACAACGCCACATGCCAACGCCCACTTGACGCCATTCGGCCTTGGCTATGCCCACCACATCCATGCCCCCGGGGGCGCAATTTACCAAGCCCAAGCCCACGCCAACGCCCGCCATTGCCATCGCCACTGCATCCATTTCAGCTGAAATGAAACACTCAATACTCTGGGCCGTTGTATTGGATCCTTGGCAGATGTAAATACCAAAGCAAATGTGCTTCGTGTTTGAGTCGTTGTATTCGTATACTATAGGTACATCCATTCACTCTATACTCATTTTAATAGCAAATGAATGCGAAAGTGCTCTCAGCATTTGGTTTCTTACTCGCACAAACTCGGGAAGCGCTTTACGTGACTATTTGTGTAATATAAAACTTGTTACCCAGCCTTCCTTCACGTTTCAGAACGGAAGCCACAGGAATTTGTTAGCCTTAAACATTATTTAAATTCGCGTAACTTCTACAAAATAGCTAGCAAGCTAATTTGAGTGCCTGCCAAATATTCCGACTCATTTAGGTTTAATTGAAATATTTTATATGAAAAGGATTTAAAAAAAAAACAAGTAAGAGGTTCTAGTCGGGAGCTCCCGACTAAGGGATACCCTGAACCCTCTTCTTCCAACATCAAATGCATATATATATATATTCTATTTTAGAAGCTATATGTCAAGTTTGGTGACTCTAGCTCTTATTATTTACCAAAATTGCTCAAAAACAGGATATCGATATAGATTTTTATCGAATGCTTGGAAACGGAGTAAGTTATCGAATATCGAAAATAAACTCGATCTGCGCGGGAACTAGGAGCACCTACATCTAAAATTTCAAGTCTCTAGCTCTTATAGGTTCTGAGATCCTTGCGTTCATACATACGGACGGACGGACGGACGGACGGACGGACGGACGGACGGACGGACGGACAGACAGACAGACGGACATGGCTAGATCGACTCGGCTATTGATGCTGATCAAGAATATTTATACTTTATGGGGTCGGAGATGCTTCCTTCTGCCTGTTACATACATTTGGATTTTGCACAAATACAATATACCCTTTTACCCTTTTTTAATGGGTTCAGGGTATAATAAAACTGTTACTTTTTAAGAAAAAACTAAAATGTTAATTAATAAATACTTTAAGATATGCGAAAAACGGAAAACGGATGCAGGAAAATCGGGTGAGTTGTGAATCTGTTGAGAATGGCATTAAAAATATTAAGCATAGTTGATGAAGACTTGAAATAAGACTTGAAGTAGATTTTTAATTTTACAAAGCGAGTTAAAACTTGTTTTAAAATTTTCTAAGAATTTCGAAAAATATAAATAAAAAATCCATATGTTTTTAAAAATTATTTTCATTTAAATTAATCAAATTAATATATTAGTTTATAATAGAAGTGAAGCCATGCCTAAAATGTCGGCAAGCATGAAATTCATTTTAGTTCTGACAAAGTAATCGGTGTGGAAAGCGCTTTTCTCGGCGCTTACATGAATATTTATATACATATTAAGCTATCCGATTACATAATGAGCATCTAATACCTTTTGGGAACTAACTTAAGCTCATCATTACAATTATTAATTAAATATATCTTACAGTGCTTAGGGCTTACGACAGCTTCCAGATTCAACAAAGGGTTTTCAGGAATTTTTCAAATGAATTGACTAGCTAATTGCAAACTTTACCCAAGCAACGAGATGCCCAGCATCATTAAATGCATAGTCTTGTGTATTAATCATACGCCAGGTGCGCAACTCGAAAAATGGAGAAGTGCGCGTTAAATTAATTAGTTTATTTATGATGTGAAATTTTCATTAAATCAACACAAGCACACGCCACCGCATACGCTTGGGCGTTGAGAGGAAGAGAGAGGGAGGGGAAATATGCACTGTATGCAAATAAGACACTTTTTCCGGCATAATTAAATAACCGGAACAACATTGACATTCCAAAAAATAGTGGAAACTGAGTCAATGGAAAATTAGTTAAAAGATTCTGTAATATAAATATTTAATGAGAAGTTATTTATTGTCATGTTCAAGGCATTATTTAACATATGTTATCATAGCAGCTCTCTGTTATGTTAATACTTATGTATATGACATAGCAGGCACAAATAATTTCAAGACTAATTGCTCTCAACTATTTAAAGATTTTTTTTGCTAAATTTGAGATTTCTGTTTAACGTTTGTTAAGTTAACAGTCTGTGAATAAGTCAGACATTCTTCTACATAGCATCGCAGTTTGGGACCCAAAAGTTCAATATTCAAATTATAAATTATGCTTCTTCTTCAGAAATTCTGAGTTATCTTTAGCATATGTTAGGTTAACAGCTGTTATGAACACAATAATTTCGGTAGCCGAACACCCATTTACCATTTTGTATTTTAACATAAATGTGTGAATTAAATACCTTCAGCTCATTCCAATATGCATCTAGAACTCACAATTTGCCCCACCGTGCAGAGGTGTTGCAATGCGAAGCTTTCGCATTCGTAAAAATAGAAGATAAAACTAAATGCTTTTTCACTTTAATAAAGATTGCCGTGTAAATTGACTGACAGCGGCAGCTGCATGGTAGGTGACAAAGTAATTAATTTAAAATAAATCACAGAGAATAACTTACTTTAGTTGGAGAGCACACGCACCCATGCCAAAAATATGCAAGGGTCGGCGTAAAATTTGTGAAATTGTTTTCTTTTGGCTGGCCAAATATTTGGCTATGCAAATATTTTGTGATTATTCAATTTGGTGCTTTCCTGTGCTGAGTGAGATCTAATGCCAATTAAAATATTGATATTTGTTTAGCATTAATTGCCATTAGCACAGATCTTTAAAGCACTTGTAACTAGCATTTGCACAGCTCAATTCAGGCGTAAAAACACAACGTTTCGGTTTTAAATTATGGGCAATGCGGCAAATAATTTACGTTGAATTTATGCGAATGCGGCAAATACACAAATTAGTTGGCTCACTCACCCGTTATGATCCACAGTTCACGCAGGCAATCCTCACGACTCTTGGCTATGGCCGCCGATTTGCTTAGATCCTGTGGTGCCTCCAGCAGTGGAAAGATTAAAGCACCGAGCACCGAGTAGCCTGTGACCAACAGCACCAAGCCCGGCGTGGACAGCAGCAGCTTTAGGAGCTGACCCAAGCAGCGTTTAGAGGCCTGCCGATTGGCCAGCACAGGGGACTTCACGCACGCCTCATTGCTGACCTGCTGCTCCTGATCCTGCTTCGCGTGCTGTTCGTCCTGCTCATCATCGTTGTCGTCGCTTTGATTGCTCTTAAACGCCTGCTCAACGTCACACATGATCGCAGTTGGCTGTTTGGCATTTGCAATTGTTGTTGCCGCCTGCTAAGAAACATTTAGTTGACTTCTTCTTGTTGCTGCTGCTTCTGTTGTTGGCTGTCAGTTTTATTGGGCCTGCATTTCCGTTTCCGCCTCAGCTTTTGATTCATTCTGTGCTGTTGCTTGTCAGCCATCCGTTTACTAATTACAACAACGTTTTCTCATCATTCCGACTGCTGCTTTGTTTTGTTCCTAAATCTCTTTTCTCCCCTCTTTACTGCAAGCCTTTAGCGTATTATGTTTTAAGCTGTTGTTGACTTGGTTTCAGTGCTGTTGCTGCTGTTGCTGTTACTGCTGTTGCTGCTGTTGCTGACATCGCATTTTGCATTGTTGCCGCTACTTTTAAAGTTGTTGTCCCAGTTTATTACCCCAGCTTTGCCAGCCACGCCCTGCCGTCTGTCGTCTGCAATTGAAAACAAATGTTGTATTGTTGTATAGTTCTTGTTGCAGTTGCAGTTGCCATTGCTGAAGTGCACTTGGGCTCAGGTTAAGCGCACACAACTTGCCTAGCGAAATGTAAGCGCACTAAATTTGACACTTTACTTAAACTAATTAGCAACTCTTAAATGCCACAATATTATGAACAGGCGTACAAGTATGTAACACACAAGCATTAAGACTTGCTTAATGTTTGAACAAAATAAAACTAATCAAAACTAAAGCCAATGCAATGAAATTAACTGGAAGTAGGCAATATATTTTGAATAAGATAACGTAATTATTAAATGCTTAAATGAAACTTATTTCAGCGGCTCTCAAAGATTCTTCTTGCTTAGGCGCCATTTGTATAACCTTTGCTTAAGTACGGGATGTTTTAAGTAAAAAATATATCAATCTCGCATTGCCCCGAACTAACTTAAACTAAAATTACACATGCTTGTGAAGCTAACTAAATTAAATCGAGCTGCGCCTGTAATAAAGTAATATTTTTGAAGTTAACATTTAATGTTACTCACTTGGCACATGCCCCTTGGCCACATTAAAACAATTTATATGGAAGCGTCTATCGCCAATCTTCAGTCGTATTTATCAAGTGCTGTAATCTGTTGTGCTATAGTTAATCAATTTAGAGCTCTATTTACTTACTTTAGATTATTTATAGAATTCTTCAGAAATTGGGCATATTTATAATAATCTTTATGGCCACATTATTGTACAGTGTACTAAAATCTACCGGTACCATAATTTCAAATCAAGATGTTCTTTTTTCGTTGTGCCTTTTCATACTTGTAGCATAGTGTATGTATTGTGTCTGCATATCTCATTTGGCTCATTTGGCTTGGGTCGTTAAGATTACAAGACGATTACAATAGGGCGTCCAACAAACAGCAGACATTATCGATAAGGCCCATTAAAGAGCGGCATAAAACCGATAACAATGCCAGGTCATGTAATACAAATTGAAGTGAAATAACAACGAACAGCACACACACACACACACACAACAAAGCACTAATCATTATTGAAGCTGACGCTGCGGTTTGTCTAATAATGCGCTTAGAGTGTTTCGATGAAATCAATTAAAGCCAGACAGAATTTGTATAAGAGGCCGCACACACATACACACCCACACACACAAAGCAACGATTAGTTGGGGGAGAAGCTCTTCAGGGGCTTGCCTACATGTATTGATGTGTGATGTTTGCCTCATCGATGGCCCAAACTGTAGACCCAAAGGGCGACGTGATTTATATAGTCAAAAAGAGCCGAGCAGCTGGCTTTAGTAATTTAGTTAATTGGAATATAAAATCAACAGGGGTCAAAACACTTGGCGCTTTAACAAAAGCCACTTGTTTTTTTTTTTGTATTCTTTTTTATTTGTTTTCTTTGCTTTTTTTATGGACAAACGCGCATAATTAAATTTGCGGCTAACATGGCGTATACGAAACTTGGCGAGGGTTTGGCTTAGCTGGCTAATGCAAAATTAATGTCAATCGCTTGGGCTGCAAAGCCAAGTTAGCATCGACAACATCAGCAAATGGCAATGCCCCTTTAATTGCGCCTTGGCCAACATTTGAACTTGGCAGGCACGCACCAGGCAGCGACCCTTGAGGCGTTAGCCAAAAGGCAAAATGTCTGCCGGAAGTTATCCCTTTTAGTCAGATTGAAATCAGCTTAGCTCCGGCTGTTAATTGAAATGTTTGCATTTCACTTTAATTAAAGTGATTTTGCTTCAAGACCAAAAAAAAAAAAAAAAAGAAAAATAAATACACAAAAGAAAACCTTTCAGCACGCACAGGACCTTTTTGTTGGGGAAATGCAGAGCGGAAGGCTCCGAATATGAACGCCATTTTTCTTACAATTTTCATTTCATTGCGCGCTGTTTTTCGCACGTCCTTTTTAGGAAGTTGCAGCTAAAGTTTTTAGTAGTTAAATATATACAACTGGGCTGCCTTTGGCCAGGACCCCAGAGCCTGAGCACTGGCTGGCTTTTCATTCAATTCCTTTGTACCGGCGCTTTTCTTTTGCCAGCGCCTGCCGTCTGCCTTATTATGCAATATTTATTATTATTATTATTATTTATAAATGCAATGACAACAAACGCAGTTTAATTACAATTTTCTTCTACATCGTTTTTAGTATTTTTTTTTGTATCCATCATCTGCTGCAGCCACAGGACGCAGTAAACGACGTCAGAAGCGACGCTAATGGCGCTAGCCTCATTTCTCTCCAGCTCTGGAGCTGTTTTTAAATCCAATCTTGCTTCATAATTTTATAACGCGCCAAGCACCAGACAGCCCTCAACCACCCAGCCGTCCAGCCCTCGAGCTGCATCCTCTTCGTTATCCTGCTGCCCTCTGCTCGTTGTCCTCATCGTCATCGTCGTTGCCTATTCCCAATTTAATTGCATCGCTGACATTTAGCACCAGCATAGAAAACAAACAAAAAACTACAAGCTACAAACTACAAACTAAACGGAACGAGCGAGAAGCGTTGCAGAAAGAAGCGCTAGCTGGCGCAGCTTAAATGGGATTTTGGTTTTTGGCCCCATGGCTCCCTGCCATGTTAAACTAAGCCGCGCTTCTGTTAGTCACTTGTTTAATTGAACTTGACTCATGGCGTGCCCGTGCACCCGTGTTAACTATATCACAATACGCGCATTTCCAATTTGGTGGCGCTCGGTGCTAAAGTGCAAGCCAAATGTCATTGAATTGAAAGGATTTAACTCACAGTTCAACTGCAGTTCGGAACTTTTACGCGCTGTGGGATCCTTGCGCCACTGGGTTGGTGGTTTTGTTGTTTTTGTACTCGAACGCCTTTTGATGTAATTACTTTAACGAAAACAAAAAGTAAGAAAAGGGTAGAACGAAGTTTGAACGAATAAAAACAAGTGTGCTCAACCACTAGATACCCTGTTTTCAGAGACGAATCAACGAAGCACACTTCCCATTAAGCCATTAAAGAGGTAAGTCACTTTATGTATGTAGTAAAAACGGCAAGGAAACGCAAAGATCTTACTTAAAAAACAATCAAAGTACTTTTGACACTCATAAGAATCGTATAAAAATTCTTTTTGTATTTAAGGAATAAAAAGTCAAAAACTAATTAGAATAAGTAAGAATAAGCATAAAAATAAGATAGAACAAGAGGTTCTCGTCGGGAGCTCCCGACTAGGGGATACCCTGAACCCTCTTCTTCCAACATCAAATGTATATATATATTCTATTTTAAAAGCTATATGTAAAGTTTGGTGACTCTAGCTCTTATTATTTACCAAAATTGACAAAAAAAAACAGGATTTCGATATCGATTTTTATCGAATGCTTGGAAACGGAGTAAGTTATCGATTATCGGAAACAAACTTGATCTGCGCGGGAACTAGGAGCACCTACATCTAAAAATTCAAGTCTCTAGCTCTTATAGGTTCTGAGATCCTTCCGTTCGTACATACGGACGGACGGACGGACGGCCGGACAGACAGATAGACGGACATGGCTAGATCGACTCGGCTATTGATGCTGATCAAGAATATATATACTTTATGGGGTCGGAGATGCTTCCTTCTGCCTGTTACATACATTTGGATTTTGCACAAATACAATATACCCTTATACCCATTTTTAATGGGTTCAGGGTATAAAAAGAAGAAGTGAGAAGGGTCCATACTATCATTTCACTACCAATCAATATATTTTTCTCTGTTCTACTTATATACATTACCTGACTATAAATCATGAAAATTGCATAGAAAGTCGTTATTTTAAATACCTTTAATGCTCACAGTTCACAGCACACAAACTTTCTAGACAAATGCCGGCATATAAATGAAACAATTAAATGAAAATGCGTTGAAAGTTTAATGAATTGTTTAATTTTATGGAGCACACAGTGGGAAATAAGCTGAAAACTTGTTTAGGTAATTTAAAAATCGACAAAGCAAAAGTCTTACTAATAAGCTACATTTATTTGTACATTTTCCACCTACCCCAACCGGACGGCATAATTTTGTGCAGTCAAGTGCCTATAATGAAAATTAAATGCGGAAAGACGCAGAACGGCAGGCGGCGGGCAGCAAGGATTTGCCAGGATATACACTTGCCTGCAGAAAGGCAGCGAAGCATGCACGGAACTTTTAACACATTAGTCGAGTGAATTCGAGTGCAGAGGTGTGAAAAAGCAACAGCAGACAACAGATACGCTGAACACCAGCAACGGGCAACTTAAACAATACCTAATAACTATGCAATTGAGCGCAGCGGAAGGAAGACACTTGAGAGCGCCAATAGAGACGCCCAGCCCTCCCCATAATTTATAATAAAAAACCGGGCAGTTCTGCAAGTGGCAAAAGGATAACACCGGATAATGACCATGTTAATGCAATACAAAAGTGCACTGAAAGGAAATGAGCAAGATAAGTAACGAGCCCCAAAAGCTGACCAAAACTGTTCACCATTTTGGCCTCAAAAAGTTTTGGCGAAAAACAAACGATCCTTCGGCTCAGGCCATGCTCATTAAACACGCTCAACTGGCCTGCAACAGTCTTAATTATTTAGCAAGACAAAAAAGTAGATAAGAAATGTTACGCTAGAAACAACGAAAAAATAAAATACTCTATAAAAATACAGTTGAATCAATAACTAAATTTAAAAATATTTTTACATTTCTGATAAAATTTGAACAGTTTGATGAAGGAGTTTGGTGAGGATTCAAAGACAGCGTTTTTTAATACAGCAATATTTTTGCTAGCTTGGCGGACTTTTTTAACAAAGTAAAAGCTAGCATATTTCTGTGTCTCAAGACTACCTAAGTCAATTGAGCTCTTTTGAAAAATTATGTGTATTTAGTTCCTTTGAGCAAAAAAATAGTTAGCTAAGCTAGCAAGCTGGCTGCCTGTGTGACTAACCTAATAGTATTTACACTAAGCCACAAATTAAAAAAGATTTATTACTTAAGTCTTATTTA